TGCATGTTTTTGGACAACGTGACAATGACTCCACTGTGCCCTCAATGTGTGGGATATCGTGACCACAGCGATCGTGACATAACAAGGAAATGAAAAAAAAAAGAATGAAAGTAAACAAGCGGACGCTGGCGGTGCTGTTGTGAAAACCCGCGGATAACGAATTCGTGTGTGAAACAAATCGTGATATGTTGTAAGAACAGGCAATGTACATGTAATGACTATAGCAATGGCACTGACTATGAAAGGTGCAATTTTGGTAATTCATTTATAATAGCGCCTGTACAGTAGCTTTCCTTTTGACACGTGTATTTCTGATGTGTTGCGTCCGTAGTCCATTACGGTTCGTGTGTACCCGGTGTGTGACACACTGGCGAGCTTGCCTTCATGGCACTAGGGTGGTTAAGACTTTTGACTGCCCACGCAGCAGTTACAAAAACAGTACATACTGCCAGTTTCCAGGTTCGTGGAATTCGGTGAACGGGAGGGAGGATGGAGCAAATTCGGAGGTGACCCCGGAGGTGACGTAGAAACGGTCTGTCTTGTCAGAGGAAATAATACCTCGCGAGTTTGTGAAGTGGTAATGCACCTTTGAGGGCTAGCTGAAATAAATAAATAAACAAAGTACCGGTAATATAATTAAGGCAACCTATCATATTTGAATGTAACAAATAACATGCTGGGACAGTAACAAATTCAAACGGTACCTCACCATGAGCAAAGTAAACCATACCGTTACGTTGTACCAACCTTCGGTCACCAACGTGACAGCATGCTAAGAACCTGGCTATACCACCATGTGCACGATTATGCCAATTTCGTATCCTGAAGTACTATTGCCATCGCTTGGACATAACTCAGCGACAACAGCGTTGGGGGAAGAACGTCTTTCAATGTGAAGTTTCCTGCCTGAAGAAATTTGCTGCCTGAACGCGTACGCTGGGCACGAGCCGAAATCACGCCCTCGGCGGTTAGCTTACGATTAATATAAACATAGTTGAAGACGTTGGTGGCGTTGTCCAGTGTTCACGTCATGTTGTTTAGTGTCACGTTGAAAGTAACAAAATCAGCTGATTAGTTTACCAAGTTGCATTGATTGAATAACGCGTGTTCACGTGGTCGTTGGTAAATATTAATATTGGACGGAAAAGTTGATATTGGTTTGACAATGTGTTATTGACATTTTTCCGCATCGCGCAACAGCAGACGACAATACATTTTCCATTGACAATACACAACAGAATATTTCTCGGCTTCAGAGGCCAATTTCAACCTGATTTGTCATTTATATCAATGACAAGGATAGGGGTGCGTAAGTCAGAAAAGAGGAATATTATAGTTCAGAAATGACGTCACTGAGCATTACGTCATGTCAATAATTATTCATGAAGACATTCGATTCGGCCAGACAAATAAGTATGCATAGACAATAGACATAGACGTGTTTATAGTTGTTCTAGCGTTTAAATCATTTTGGTCAGGTAGTAACATTCATTGAGATTCACAACAAATTACTGGAAAGTTGCAGTTTAAAGCGGGAGGGTCGTCACCTGCGAACGCGCGGAAATTGAGTCCTAAGCGACGATAAGCACACTAAAACGAAAAGGCTCATGGGTAGACGCTTGTTTGTAAACAATGACACGCTATGACAATCTGATGCATGCGCAGGTGACGACTCTCCCGCTTTAAGATGATTAACGCAGTTATATAGGGTGAACATTTCGAAAAATGTTTTTGAGCGTGTGCTAAAAAACGAAGTAAAGTAGTCATTGGCGACCAAGCAAACTGCAAACAAGGCCGTGTTAGTGTTCCTGTTATCTTTACGACCATTTTTATTGTCAGATTACATTGCGAAATTACACATTTTCGTGACAAAACATCAAATCTGACTGCAAATTGATGTAGGTTGAGGCCCTATTTGCGTTTAATTTACGAATGCCGGTATATAGCCGCGGGACAGACAACACATTACCAAAACCTCGGCTTGGAGATTTTGGCCGGCAAATCCAAGAACTCACCTCAATTGTATACGCGTCGCGCGTCACTATAGCGATATATTGATATCCCACTGTTTACTAAAAAGACGCCCACCCGTGGTTTTCAAAAGTAAAATGGATTTTTCATAAAGTACAATCAACGTGAAATAAATAACCGTGACACATGTGTATTTTTTCCTTGTTTAATGGACAGTCTAACGTCGCAGTTTGGGAATACCTCTTGTTAATCTAATATCCTGTCAACCTCAGTGTAATTATAGCTTTGTTCCGTCCACGCTCTAGCGTATACAAATGGAGAAAGTGCTTAACCTTAAAATTCGTTTAAACCGTTGATTTAATGATTTAATGGCTTACACAAGGACGTCGACATTTTGCAAATGCCGCTGTAACCCTGTCACCGTATTAGCTGGAGCTCCACAAAATTTCGCCTTCCTCTTTAATTTTGACAGCGAATATTTAATAACGTATGTTGACAGAAAAATCATCCAGGACAAAATAATAATGGATTTACTTGAAGACATCTGGTATTAACTGCCAATGGCTGGGCAAAAAGTGTGTCATGCCAATATAAAGTCCGCTGTACACTGCCAGAGACTTCTCGCTCGACTCTTCTCAGGATACGTTCAGATGGGTTACCGCTTTACGACTGAGAGTTCCCAACTATATTTCAAAATGCGGGTTGTTTCTAATATACGATATCTTATAATCAGATTATGTCTAGTATTCTTTCAAGTATCAACCTGATCATAGATTACGTTGGAATATTACACATTATCATTATACGGGATAAAAGCATCCAATCTGACTTCAATTCGATGTGGGTTGAAGCTCATTAAAGTATCAATTTTGATCATAGACCTCAACAAAATCTTTTTATTGTCTAGGCATATACAATCATTTCTGGATTTCTCACAGAATGAACGATATAAATCAATAATAATTACAATGGCTGTTTCATATAGATTGTTATACCACATCATACTGGGAAAAATGAATTTGGCAACCCTGTAAACATATAATAAGATATTCATACATGAATATTTCCCGGTTGCAGCATTTCGATTACACGCCGTTTTAACGTAGCTATAACGCTTATGTAAACAGATTAACGGTTTATAAACACCGTGTTGGTAACATGACAATCGTGATGGTGTAATTGTTTTGTTTTTTTCAAATCCAAATTATAATGAATGGTTCTAATTGTTTAATATGTTCATTTTTGACACAGATATACATTTGTATCTATCATTGTTAACAATATAATGGAAACATTGTTTGAATGTAATACTCCGAGTACCCGTATCATGATCATGAATATATACCTTAATTTATTTATTGCTTTGTCGTTAGCTTATATGCTCAATGTTATCATAAAACTCTCCAAGACGCGTCGGAAAAATACTCAGTACAAGGTGCAACCATGGGCGATGAAGCTTTGGCTAGAAACGTCACGTACCACTACAGTGCCAATGCGACGATGAACTTGTTTTATTTCAGTATCTATTCGAGTACTTATTAGCATTAGTTAGTCTATTCGAGTAAGTATAGCTATATACAAGAACAGTTTATCCAGTTTCTTATTCATAATCCCGCCATATTGATTAAGTCACGTGCTTAAACCCTTCTACTTCATTGGATAAAAGTTGGGACCAGTCTAACGCTGCCGTTAACTATATTGCACACATAGAAATATCGCAACGTCTCACCAAATCGACGACTCTAGGCTATAGATTTATTCTTTAAATCTGAACAACTCTAACACCATCACAATAAAAAAATTGCTAGTCACAGAGCCACACTGCCCTCGACGCATTTGACACGGCCTTGGATATGTGATGACTTTGTATCAGAGTTTCAAATAAATTAATAATAGTAATTTATTGACGACGTAATAAACAAAAGTTCGTATTAATGTTAAAATGCCGCGGAGATCTTATTGAGAGCGGAGTAGCCGTATGATAAGTTTAGTGTTCAATTCTTCGTTTTCCGTCATCGTATTCAATGTTTCAATTATATCATAGTGAAATTGATCATGGGAACAGTGAACGCGATTTCAGTGGCGAAGTCACGTGGACCTTACGATTGTCATTTCCATGTAAGATGTATTTTTCATCTAATCAAATTAATTGGTAAAAATGTGAAAGCACCTCGTTTGGTTGGACTCATAACAAATATGGACGCACGTTTCGTTGGGTACGCTTCGACCGGTATACGATTTCCAGATACTCATATGGCGAAGTTCGAATGCGGAAGGTAATGTAACCCGACAATTCTCGAGTTTCTTGAAGAATTTTCAAGTCGTATTGACACACGTATCTGCAAAATATTGTAATTATATTAAGCGTTCTATAAGTCTAGCGCCGCAAACTAAACACAAAGGCTGCCATCACTGAGAAGAACGCCTAATTCACGAGTTTTTAACGTTATAGTGGAGGTGTAAGTGTGTAAGCTCTGACGTCAGGTTTGAAAGAATAAAACTTAATTGGTGTGCTAAAATCAATTATATTTATGGTTCTCTGTGAATATATACCTGGAATTTGGAAACGGTTTATAATTCCAATCCGGAGGTTTCATTTCTGGGAAATTGTGTTGACTGAGACACTTTTACACATAGAAACATTGCCGTTAAAAAAAACATACGAATAAACTTCTCAACGCCGAAATACAGGTGCGAATTTGCGCCACTGCTCGATGCTTGACACGTTTTCATAGATTATTTATTCAGATTGACGCTCTTAGTGCGAAGTAAATATAGAAATATTCAGTTGCAACAAAACACGACATAAACCATGTATTGTGCGCGGCGCATCACTAGTTAGCAACAACTGATTGAATTTGAACAAATTGCAAGAATCTCTAACCGTGATTTATTTACGCGCGTGTTTCCGTTTCGACCGTTTTGTTGAACCAATATTGGACGCATAATACGAGTATAGTGACTATTTCGACAGCATCATTATACTCGTATTATCACTGTCAGCCGTGGACTAAACGAGCAAGTTTAATACACCAGAAAAACGCATCTAATTTTATTAGAAATGTGGCTGTCTAATCAAATTCTAATCGGTGGTCGTATATTGAAAAATAACAGTTTTAATATTCCAGGCGCCATAAAAGATCCATTGACAAAATAGAAATATTTGATGAATAGATCAATCATATGGTAATCAAAATGTTACTACTCCAGATACTAATGGTTGTCACTATCAGACAATTACGGCAACCGTACGTCGTAATACAGAATTCAAATCTGTCGAACTATTACTCTTATACAGACGAGACATGTTAAATAGAAAAGAAAAAAATATGAATTCTTCAAAAAAAAACGGTCATATAATAACGACTAAATGGGATTGCATCAAAGATGAATAAGGTCAATTCCATAATGCCGCGAAAGTAAAAAATTAAATGAATGTTATTACAACTAAACAATACATTATTGTAACTATAAAATTGAATCGGAGTTGTGATGAACCAGGTTATTGACTGATACTTAATAACGCAAACCCTTAAATAGTTAATTGCTTAGAAATCGTTTGCAAACTCATCTTGGGAGCTTTCGTCGAACGTGTTGGTATATTGCGGTGCAACCATTTCAGCAAGTTTTTCTCTCAACACTTTTGAAACAACTCCGCGAAGATAGTTATCCCAGTATTTGGCGGTTCTTTCTTGTGGACCTACAGAGGATGAATTAAGAATAGTTAATTCTGGTTAAAAGGGTGGTTAAGACCTTTAATTTATCATTCAAGATGTTATCAAATGACAACAAAAATGTCGAAACAATTGAAACTCTATGGATATCTCCACTTTCACAAAAGTGTTATATGTAGTTTAGAATATGGACACCAGCAGTTACAGTCATTTGTACGGATCCTAGATGCGTAGCGAGATCTTGTTCAATATGGCGGTCTACGTGATTGCCAAATTTCGGCTGGACATTTTGCGTAGACGTATGGGTTGGCTCTTTGGTGTATTAGTTATCTTACAATTATCTACGCTTGGGCACAAACACGCGTATTCATTAATTTAAATGCGATACTAATAGTGTTTGTATTGGTTCTTTGCTTTAAGTGTTCTATAACAATTCTGTAACCGGTTGACAAGCAAATAGTTATTTTCATCGTTTTGAAGTCATCACGAAAATGCGGTTTTATGTAAATTTATTTACGAGACTAGCTCTAAACAGTTGCGGAACGAACGTGTTAAATGTGCTGTGTAATTTGACGAATATTGAATTGATACGCAATGATGAATGAAGTAATTGTTATACCCAATCAAGCGCACACAAACAACAAGACAACATCAATGAACATATATTAAACTTGTGCAAAACTCATTCTTTCGAACTGCGGACCACAAATCAACTTCTACTCTACTTAGGCTCGCTGATTGATATGAGCAGTAGTGGAAATCGAAATTATATTACTGAGATGTTTTTTCGGTATTTGTCTTGAAAATAAAAATGATGAAAAAGGCAAAAAATGCCAAAATTGGAAAGGAGATACAGTACGCCGTATCTTGGATTGATTTGTATCTCGTTTTTTTGTTATTATATCACAGCAAAATACAAATATACGCGATATGAACGTGAAACATATTTACCTGACTGTGATCGTTTTACGCCAGCATTCCTCCCGCAGTATTCCATCCAGAAATCAACACATGGTAATTTGGTTGCACAGTGTACTAAAACCATGGAAGACAACACGATGATCAGTAATAACATATTCTTGCTTGCCATTCTTTCTGTCTTATGTCTTTCTGTTAGTTAAGAAAACAACACAGACGTAAGTAGTTATAGTAGTGAGTGCACAGACTGTTTTCATTTATCAAAGTTTTTACAACACTCTGATTGTATTTATGTGTATTTTAAATGTCTACACCGAAAGAATAGAAAATAACAAAATATTCATTTGATAATAACGGTGTCGCTTAATTCAATAATCTAATAATGCAGATTTGCTTCGACCTGACTAGTTACAATTTGCCGCACTAATCCAGATTAATCTCTAAACATGTTGCGAAATATATTATACTTAAAATATAATACAATTTCATGTACGGAGACATCAACGAAAACTCACCTCACCTCTTCTTTCTTACGATGATATGTCAAGTTTGGCACTTACGGTTGTAGGTTGTAGTACTGGAAGATGACTTGACTCTTTTATATTGGTTTTCTATGTGTGAAAAAAAATATGATGTACGTGTGCTTTTGTTGTTACTGAGCGGATATGGGTGTGTCTAATATTGCTAATACTGATGGCATCACATTATTTGTGTGTATTACGCAGCATGGGGGGAATTACTAACTGTCAGCTAAATTGACTTGTAAATTGACTACATGTGACTAGATGTGGAGCTTTTTGGAGCACTAATGACCGTGTTGAACTTGCTCTGGGAGACAAAGGACCTGATAACGATTATCGATCGTTTTAATAGTCTGAAGGTAAATTGACTCCGCTGAACTTTGAACGAATGTTGAACCAACATTTTTGTCAAGAGGCATATTTTGGATTTGGGTGTCAAAAAAATAAATAAATGAATTCATTCACTGCAATGTTGGTTGCAAGACATTACAGACAATTTTATTTTGATCATCAAGAAGGAATTTGTTTCTATGATTCTGTGTTTGATAAATAATTTGCTGGTTCTTGTAGGAAAAAAATAGTCAACATTATAATATGTATTTGCCAGATTTTGGACGACATGCCGTCTTTGACTTCCTTTGATAATTGCGCAAGCACAATGGTCAATTCAAGTCATTCTAACCTGTATTAATAATTTTATTACCACAACTTAAGCGCTTTAAAAAACACGGTGAAAGAATAAAGAACATAACTGGGGTTAATTTAGTAATGAGCGGAATGGTAATATGTACGTCTATTCTGTACATTGTCATTATCACGTCTCCAGCAGTGGTTAATTTGTAGTGAGAATACACCGGACGTTGATAATTGTAATTTCGTCATATCCGACAGACTCACATCCTGTCACGTGGTAAAAGGGATCATTTGCATTAAAATAGTGATTTATAGAAATGCACCAGCAATACATAAAATTGAATCGATGTGTCCGATTGAGTGAAAGTAAATGTAACATTCAACAGGTCACTATATAACAAGATGAATAAATTAAATGTCAGTATGAATAAGTTAACTCTACTCGTTAGACACGAATACACCCCGCATCGGCAAGCATGGTATCGTGTCAGTCGTGCTCTACGTACCGCTCCGTGTTTTTTATCAATACTATCATATTATGTGCTGTTCCATCTATAGAATATATAGTTTCAATTTTCAGTTCACACTTTGTATTTGATTATGGGAACTTTTGAATATTTTTGTTATTTAACTGTTTTTGAAACTAATTTGCACACTAGTGGTTCACACACCTTCGCGACTAGCATACGTTACCAAGATGTCCGAACCGGCGTCTTTGTACGAATATTGAAATGGACGATACAAATGTAGACAAATCAACTAGTTAATTGCATTCTAGTCAGGCATGCACCGTATCAGGATAACGTGGGCTCGATATGGCGTTATATATCTTTGGGCGAACGGGTACCGTGCTCAACGCAAGATTTGATTCTTCCGAATTGACAACTTCGGCGGCTAAGCGCATTCAATCAACAGAGACAAAACGACCGTGAGTTTGGTATGTAACACAATATGGTACTACTGAGGTGAACATACTCGTAGAGAGAACATTATTTAAAGAAGTATTTCACGAGCAAGCATTGCTTGTACTTGAAAATAAGAAGTATTATTTATTTAAATCGATTAACGTATTCCGCCGTTTTTACAAGAATTATATTTAAATAGAACTATCGCCTGAGAAAAAAAAAACGTTGACGCAGAGTCGCAGACATAGACTTGGAGATGCGTCATCATTTTCGCAGAGGCCTTTGTTTGGTACACATATGTCTATCTTAATACATGAGCTGTGATCAACAACTAATGAGGAGACAACATCAGAAACATTAATAGAATAAGAATGCATGATAAATTGCGATTCATTTGTTGTTTCTCATAACAGTCGCTAGTTTATCACACTCTACTGAAATTATGCAAAGTCAGATATCTATTAAACAACTGTAGGAACTAAACGTAGTTTGCTAGTATTTCAATAAAGCTGCCGTTTTCGTCTGATCGCCATGACAACAAACCATATATTGTTTGCGAATGTAATGTTTGTACGTGTATGCTTCTATTCGGCCGCACTTTTGTACACGTACGATTTCTACTTAATAGATATAACTGGGATGAGAAACAGATATTTAGATAATTTGAATAATGAACAATTGCATTGGCAAACATATCGACTAATTAATAATTCAAATGAAAAAAAAATAGTTTTCAAAACACATATTATAATATTTAAAAAAAACAAAAAAAGACAAATAGTTACCAAAACTAATTATGACAGAAAATAAAAACAAATCGGCTGCAAGTCGTAACGTCCTTGTTAATTGCTTGGACACATTCAATGTTCTTCATGGAGGTCAAAGTGAAAGTGAAGTGCTTTAGCAAAACAAATTTTAAGAATGCTTCATTAATTCTCACAAATTGTTTAAACCGATGATACATTTAATATCTGCCGCGTCTTACTCCAGCCAGTGTTGTGTTTACTTTATACTTTCGTGAAAGTGCATTTTTTTGTTCTGACGGATTTAATGCTGCCACATACTGTTCTCAATAAAATATACAAATGAATCATGTATTCACGAAGTATACTCAGGCCATTCCAACCCAATTCCCAATATAATTGTATAAATGTCCACACTAATGTAATGTAACAAACACGCAGTGGTTTTACGCAATTGATTAATATATGAAATACCAAATTTAAAAAAATCGAAACTAGAATTAAAATGTTATTTATAGGCTAACATTGATGCCATTATCTCATTTCCATTCATCTATATGTCTTAATATACACTTCCGTTGTTGAGTGGTGACGATATAGTTGTAAGTGCCCATAACTTAATACAGGCTACGTCAACACGAGAAGTGTTGAGTCATCGTCAGTCGATTAGATGAAAAAGAATAGATCGCCGGGGGCAAACAATCACAGCATATCGCAACTGTTTGACTGATAAATTATTGCCAGATCTGATAAATGTTATATTCCATCAATTGTGTACAATGAATTCGATCGCGAGCTCAATATTACACAGTGCCATTTTTGTATGGGCAGGGGTTATCGTGAGCAGTATAGCTCAGTGACTCTTCAGTGTGATTAAATCTAACAATAACGAAATATTATCATTATAAAAGTAGAGAGACAATGCCCCTCCCCCTCCACTCGTCAACATAGATTGTATAGTTCTTATAAATTCTCGGTTTCAGGTCTGCCTTGACTTTTCATGGTAACAGGAAGTGATTTGCCTGCATTATCAATGTACTTAAACCTTCTATGTATAGTTAGAACGACTGGTATTAAATACAATGCACCAGAAATTACAATGAATCAGCGGGTACGGGTGACGATTGTATTCCGAATTGGCGGAATTAATCAATAGATAAGCGTAACATGATTAATTCTAGAAAGTATCAATTTTATAAAGTTACTAAGTGATGCTGTATGTGATTACAATGACCTTGTAGTGTACACTCTATTATTCGACACGTAACCATGGCAATGTGTATCCTGGATATCCTCGGGGCGGAGCTACGCCACAAGATGTTCCACGTTGCTAAGACGCGCACCACTGTACCATGTATTTCTATGGGTTCTGTGCGAGCTGGTGTGGAAAGCCAGTCGAAAAAACGGTGAAAATATCTAAATTCGAGAAAACAGAGCAAAACCGACTTTGAAGTAATCCTCGACAACCAAATTTATATATGTTACAAATGCAGGGATATTCTCTTTACAAAATTCCGTGAAACTTCAACAACCATCCCAAAGTACCGTTTTCGCCGTTTTTTTCACCGTGATGGTTGCCAGGCTGTGAAAATGCCCGGATGTACGCCCCCGAAAATAGGAGAACAAAGTTGAAGATTTGTACACATCTACTACAAATAATGATAAAACACACCTATTGATGGCGCAGGTTATCCAGCGCTTGACTGCAAATTTAGAAATAAAACTACAATTAGCTACGTGTGAGGGTCACATTGATTAGGACCGAAATTACAGTACCCATGTCACAAGTCACATGTCCAATACATCTCTTAAATTTGTATTACGTCAGAAATAATTGACATTATATATTACTAGTAT